AAGCCACGTGTACAAAAGAAGGGTGTTCTCCGGCCTAAACCAAATTTTACTCAAAGCTTCAATTGCTTCATTGCATGTAACTAGTTTTGACAGCGAAATATATGTAATGGGAACTACCTTTATCCAAATTGAAATAAATAGTATTATCCCTATAGAATATAAACACACAAATAAAATGTAAAAATATAAATATGTACTAGGGCTATATATTTATTTAGTTCACTGATTTCTTTAAGTAGAATTATGTATAAAGTGTTCCAGTTTACTAAGCGCATAAAGTATGAATTTCACAAGTGAATGTTTGCTCTTAGTCATTCTCTGCTGAATGCGTAAGCTCCTCAAAATACTACAAAATATGACCCTAGAAAAAGTAATCAACGAGAGTTTGTTCATTTGTTGCAAAGAAAACCAACAACATTAAAATATTTCAGGGTGATAGTGGACAAACAGATAATCTTTGAACTCGTTGTGTTCTTTAGTCGATGAGTTCTTTTTTTGCATTGGTAATGTACAGTACATTTAAATTGCGATTTTGTTAGGGATTACCAGAGCTATGCCTTGTATATCTGATTATGGTTGCCATAAATTCGATTAGGCTTCTCAAAATACTACAAAATATGGCCCTCGAATTTTTTTATTAACGGGGGTTAGTTCATTTGTTGCAAAGGAAATCAACACGAAAGTATTTCAGGATGATTGTGGACAAGCAGAGAATCTTTGTTTTGAACTCGTTGTGTTCTTTAGTCAATGAGTTTATTTTTGCATTGTTAATGTACAGTACATCTAAACTGCAATTTTGATATGCAGTACCAAAGATAGGCCTTGTATATCTGATTATTGTTGCCATATATTCTCGACACACTAAGCCACGCGTACAAAACAAGGGCGTTCTCCGGCCTAAATCAATTGCTTCATTGCATATAACTAGTTTTGACAGCGAAATATATGTGATGGGAACTACCGATAGGATATAAACATACAAATAAAAAGTAAAAAGTAAAAATACGTACTAGGGCTATATATTTTATGTAGTTCACTGCATTTTTTATATAGTTGAATCACGTATAAAGTGTTTCAGTTTACTAGGCGCATAAAGTATGAATTCCACAAGTAAATGTTTGCTTAATCATCCTCTGCTGAATGCTCAAACACCTCAAAATACTACAAAATATGGCCCTCGAAAAAAATGATCAACGGGAGTTAGTTCATTTGTTGCAAAGGAAATCAACACAAAATACTTTGCTTTGAACTCGTTGTGTTCTTTAGTCGATGAGATCTTTTTTTGCATTGATAATGTATAGTACATCTAAATTGCGATTTTGATAAGCAGTACCAAAGCTAGGTTGTATATCTGATTATGGTTGCCGTAAACTCTCGACACACTAAGCTACGCTTACAAAACAAGGGCGTTCTCCGGCCTAAATCAGATTTTGTTCGAAGCTTCAATTGCTCCATTGCGTATAATTAGCTTTGACGCGAAATATACGTGATGGGGACTACTTATAGAATATAAACACACAGATAATGGGTGATATCGATGAGTTTATAACGGATGCGGCTCATTTTTGCAAAATCATTTTTTTGCACAAGGATAAATTGATGTACGAGAAGAGTGAAAATCGCATAGGTTTGTATTGTTAACGTGTACTTAATGAAAGTTCGCTGCCCCCGCGATGGAAGGTCGAATACTGCTTGGGATTTTGTCAGGCCCAAAATTGTGCTCAGACAGCGTGTTTACCGACTGTGGTATTCAGGTCGTACACTATCGAGTTCGTCGCCGTCGTTCATCTATCGTAGAACGTATACTGACAGTGAGAATACAAGCTGTACTATAGGGCCTATCATAGTGGGTACAATCACAATAGAGAATGATGCCGATATATTTGCTGCGAGGTGAACATCAGAGCTTGAGACTATCCACTACAAACGACAGCGAAAGGAAAAATGAGTACGCATTCCACACCGTAAAAGGATGGATTGAATGTACTTGATTTGACAGATATAACGCCCTATTAGTCAGGGGTGCCAATTTCGTATTGCTGTACTCAAAGCATTCGAATAGATCAAGGGGTTTCGGTATGTCGGTTCCTGGTGCTAAATTCTGGAAGGCGTGCGTTATTGGGAGGCACTACGGCAACCTACCCAAGCAGTACACCGCAAGCTGAAGCGTTTATTTCACATAAGCCTCTAGTAGCACGGCTTGTACAAAGGAAGGGCAACGTTTTCTATGGATTTATCTACTTTGGACCATGGATGAAGGCGTAAGGGATAGTGACTAGAGATGAGGTTTTTGAATGAGCCTGGTATACAGCATTTTGTTGGTGCAATTGACAGCAGTTCGTCGTTCCCATAAAATGAAACTAGAACCTTTTGAATTGTTCATATTTTAAACGAGATTGTACACTATATTATACACTTGTGTTAAACGCGTTTTCGTATCTATATGGGCTGCTAAAGAAGAGCTTAAGCGTATCATATGCAGGCTCTGCCCGCATATGTGCGGACTGAATATCCCATTTAGGTCAGTACTTTTCTGAGAGGCGACGCGGACAATGCAAATATATACAAGAGTGACATGCGCAGTTATATCTCGGCATAGCAAGCTGTCGGCGCGGCAACATAAACGGAAACTCGAAGAATGACTACCCATATATATGAATATGTTCTTCCGAGCGAAATCCAACTCTAGATCTGGCACAATCCCTGGTCCCATCTTCACCCTGATGTGGAATCAAGCCTTCGAATGCATTTTTTTATTACCACAAAAAATAGTTCACCTTGTTTCTCGCAGATTGATTTTGGATAGTCATCGGCATAGACAAGCCCGGAGTCGGACAAACTTTTGATACCTGCTACCGACAACTTCGAACTTAAACTTGTGGTGCCCTTATGTCTCGCATTGTTTCAAAAAATAGCATCCCTTACCCCTAAACTCGCAGATAGTTTGGCACGTTAGTAATATAGCGAGTATCCCAAGTTGACACAAGCGAGATTGGAGGGCTGAAATATTGTCGATCTATTTGGATTAAATGGTCTTGTAAAATGTTTGAGTATCTTGGACGCTACACAATAACCATTGGCAATGTTCCTACTGCAGAAGAAAGGTACATAGCGCTTTTTGTTTAGCCGATTTCGTCAGCATGGAGGGTTTTGTTTGTAGTAAATTCACAATAAAAGTTTCCTTCTTACCACTAATAAGCGATTATTCAGAATCCGACATTTTGAAGAAAATGTAATCTAAGACAGGGAGGCTTTTATCGATACATACTGCTAAGTCTGACTATATTTCGTCATGTCTTGTTTGATCTTCTTTACCATCTTCCTGTGGCGTTTGCTCTAGCCAGCCGTATTTGATGCTTATATGCTTAAGCAGCTTCTCTAAGCAGTCCGTATCCGTGGCGTGGTGCTCGAGGACATCCACCAAAATTATATCTACAGTCTGGTCTGTCGGTGCAAAACCATCCACTGCGTGGTGTAAGTATTCTAATGGCACACCTGTGAACAAAAATCGAACAAAAGACAGGTTTAGGAGAGTGATTTTGACCGATCTAAAATGACACGATCTAATTGATACATTAATCAAATGGTTTCATCGGCGAGAATATAGAAATCTAGACAGCGATAGCACGGCGCTAACAGAGCAACAATTGGGCCGGGATGGAATTTCGCTCTTGGCGGGGGTTTGAAATAATGTCATAACTGACATAATCACATATATCGATACCAGAATCACAAGAGTTTGAGCAATAAAATTTAGTACCCGCACAAACCTTCTAAACTGCCGGCTGATACTAGCGCCTCCCGTACATCCTTTCTTTGCTCGTCTGTCATTTCTCCGGTGACCAACAACAGAGCGGTTTTGTCAATCTGAAGTGAGAATCGAACATGTTACCAAAGTGGGTCGAGTGGAGATTCCAGATCTCCGCTCGCCAGCATCGAAAATACTGACCTTTACATAAAAGTACTACTATGGTGGACGGTGATGCCCGAACATAAGGTATTTCGTAAAAGACTCAAAGGGAGGCAAGCTTTGCGAAGTCAAGACGGGATCCGTACCCCTCAATCGGAAAACGAAACAGGTACGCATGCAGAAGTTCTAAATAGTCGGTTCATTAGTGTGATTTTGTGTAAAATTGACCCATAGAAGACAGTGATTGAAACACGTTATTACTGGAAAGAGATTTAACTTAAGCTTCACAGTCCAAAAAACAAATACCAAACACGGCACATTTTACCTGGTCCGAATCCGGCAACGATATTTCTGTTACCCGCAACTCTCCCTCCACGACTTGCACTATCAATTTAGACGGTTTCTGCAGTGGAGGGAATACATTCGAGATCAAATACGGTAAGCGCCCGAGGCGCTGTGTTGGTATGCTATCTACGGTTTAAACAACACAGTTTATAAACCAGATACTAAAACAAACTATCAACAAGTAATTAAACGGACTGAAGTGCCCTGACACGCATGTGTCAATGCAGATAATATCGAATTAACTAGCAATGATCTGAGCAATTTCCGACCAAATACCGCTCTGTATGCTTGAATACACGAGGCCAAGCATCTATGTGCATTTGATACCTTGCGAGTGTTAGACTTGCTTAAGTCTGCACCTGAAGTATATACATGCGGTTCTCCGGCCTGTACAATGTAAAAATCCTTAGTTAGTGCTATCAAAACCTGCCAGTGTCAACAAGTGAACTCACCGCTTTAGACTGGTAATATATAGCGTTCATGCTCATCAGTCTACCGACTGACGCTGTATCTCTTGCAATACCATGAGGCGCTTACTGACGCAAACCAATCGGTAAAGACATTGCAGATAAAACAGATATCCGATAAGATTAAGAACACACCTTGTAGCGCTTGTGGTGCACGGGTTGGACTGTGCTTCTAGTGCATACTATGTCTTGTTCCTTGTCGATGCTAGGACTTTCAAGCGCAGGGTGAATACAGATCCCTTTCGTGTGCACCTTAAGAATTTGGAAGTTGGCAGCAATAAGTATCACGGTTAAATTTGAAAAACAAAAATCCTCATATTTGATTCTAAAATTATATTGCGGGAGGGATGGGCTGAAAAATATGCCATTTTTTTTCTCGATCTTTGAGAGCAATTTTTGGCAAGTAAAATTATGGAAGCAAGTGACATACGCAACAAGTTGAACTTTCGGTTGTTAAAAAGTTGCCGAGCAATACTACATAGCGGCCATGGAAAGCTTCGTGCCAACGACTAGTGCAAACGTTGCAAACACGAACAGCACCTCGTGGAGAGTATTTTTTCGGAGCATGGCTGAGAAGTCCAACCACCTGAAACGCCCACATATGTTTTTGTCACACTTTCATGTGTATTATACAATGGTACTCCCTCTATGGACCTACAACAAACGGACAATATCTTACAGGCGTACACATATAAACAAAATTGAGACTATATTCGCAATCTTTTAAAATTTATTGTGACTTGTACTTTCCCACTGTATAGTTCGCATGCTTGCACAAATATATCACGCACGTGTGCTCCCCAAATACGGGGAAAACGTTAATACACGATAGAAAAACTAGCACTCGACTCGGAGTGCCAGCCGTTTTTGTGTAGTTACCTTTATTTCGTAGACACAGGTAGCCTTCTCAAGCACCGTCGTGAATTGTCCAACTGTATCGTCACTGCAAACGAACTGCAATGGAATTCTGAAGATAAATCGGCTGTGCAGGAGCTCACCTTCTGACGACAAGTATTACCACAACACTCAGAGTGTAAACTCAAGGTGGCACTATTTGGATATCACTCGTAATAAAAGAGTGTAGGGTGAGAATGTTTGTAAAAGACGTTGAAAGTATCATTAGGCACGGTACAGACCATACAGTGATATTCACAGTACGAGTATGGGCGAGCAAGAACCCGATCATATTCTGGGTGATCAATTTATGATTAGTTTTTCTTTACCAAGTAGAGCCAGCTTGGTGCAACTGCGAATCGACCCGCGTTCTATTGCCTGAAAAACAGTGCATACAACGATATCTCACACACCTGAACTTCTGTCATTCTCTGCGGATTCTGACCCACATCGCAGGGCGTTCCTCCTGTAAAATGCAGTGACACGTACGGCACTATTCTATCTTCCTTCATAGCGGCCTCGTATTTTTGCTGAAAGACATCGATTTATAATCGAGGGTGTCGGGGTTTTTAGAGAACAACTAATATCAATTGTAACAGTAAATAACAGCCTCCAAAAAAGGAGGTGCTCTCAGTGGTGTGCTGGCTTAACAACCGTATACGATTCAGTAAACGCGTGAATGGGCTTACACACCAACCAAACATCCAACATGGAACGAACTCTATAAAAAATTCAATTGGAAGTAAAACATGGATGGTTAACACACATACCCGCGACACTTCCTCATCGTATGTTCCCAGCGAAAATTCATCCAAACTCTTATCTTCATTCATATGATACTGTCGCACTTGCTTCTTATGACAGTACTCGTACGTCCACCACCCAGATCTCTATACAACCAGACATGTTTCAGAAAGGGGTCAATTGACATTGTATACGTTGACACTCTAAAAGAGACGACTTTTTCGAAACAGTAGACACTAATACCTTCATGTACGAGGGTGTATCTACTCTTGCAATCGAACTGAAATAGGCTGTTGACAGGGTAACGGTGTCCAACATTTCGGAGAGAGTCAACGCAAGAACATGCATAATATTGTGCACAATATGGTAACTAAAATTCTAGTTGTAGACATATGGCGGCTACAATAGCAACCTTATTCAATCGTGCTGCTCGAATGTAAATACTAATTTAGAGGATCAAGCACAATACGATTTTTGACTCGATTGCCCGTTGTGTTGTCGAAGTCCAATCCTGGCACAATATATCAAAAATTGAAACATAATTCAAGTATTCCATTTACCACCACATACGCATCAAACCAACATGCTTGCAATATACATACATATGCATAACATCGTCCATCGCTTTTGTGCAAGTGATTGAGAAACTCGCTATATGATGGTTGCTTTTTCTCGTCTTTGATCGGCTCCTCCCTTATTTGCGGTGGCGCTGGGATCTCGCATGTGTACTGTGTGCCGTCTGCTGCAGCTATTTGTAGTGTGCTGACTCCACTCTGTAACTATGGCCGTAAAGGAGCGCGTCTCGGTGAGTATTACAATCCTTTTAGAAAATCAATATTTGTATGGATGTTCAAAGAGATCTGATAAAATTAGCAACATACGTGACTTCGTTTTCAGCTCAATCGCGGACAACACAGGCGCAGACCAATACAATCATACTCGTGTCCATCTTACTTTAACCACTCACATGCATACATACGGACACACACACATACACAAAAAAACACACAGTTACATAAATGCATAGGCACATACAAACCATCCATACACACATACCTATAT